CGTAACACTCAAGTAAAGCAGTGCAGTATAATAATAGTGCATAAAAGTAGCCACTGTGCAGTGCAGCATACAACACTTGTGGCCATTTGTTACTTGTGTTGGGTTTGATGATGGCCACGTTGTTTCGGAAACACGGAAAATCTTTCGAACCGATAAATGCATTCCGCAAGGTGGCTTGATGGGAAAATAAATAGTAGTAATCAGCTTATATGCCTTTTACGCAACATTGGAGAAGCAGATTGTTATCTTAGGAGACATGAAGGTGCATGGAGTATTTAAATAAACCTTTTGAATTTTTAGTGTAGCCAAGTTTGCCTGCATGTGCTCTATCGAATTGCACATGCAGTCAAATCACAAGCATCTACTCATATTATGTAAATGTGTGCAAATGCTCAAACGTTTCAAATTCTAACTGAAGGTTACATTAACAACATTCATATTTGATCTGAAAACCATGTATTAAAAATTTTTTAATATTTAGAGTGAACTAAATATGAAAGGCTTTTAATCTTTTTACTTTTTTTGGTAAGCATAGAAATGTACATTAGAAATGTAAGCATAGAATCGAACATTGTTTACAACTCTGGTAATGTTTATAAATGGTAATGTTTACAAGGGCCCATTCTCCCCACTTGAAGCATAATTTTCTCAGTTCTATGTTGTAATGTTATTGGTATATATTGAGTAATAAAATAAGCAAATAAAGCATATTTGAAATGTCATGTACATCATGGTTCACCAACAGCTTTTACACCCACAAAAAAATTATAAAAATCTCTAATGTGCAGACAAATATGAACAGCTTTACTGCACTCGTGATTGTTTCAAGATGTAAGTGCAAAAACCAAACGATGTAATCTTTGTTGTAAAATGACACAGGAATGACTGATGACAAGTGCACAGAAATTGAAAGCTGAGAAAACAAAGCTAAAAAATGGAGTGCAAAGCTAAGAATATGGAACTCTGAACAGAGCTGGTTTTATTATATAATTGGAGAAATGCGATTATGTGGCCATTTTGTGTTCTAATCTCTCTTTTTTGCGATCATGCCATCATGGTGACACTGTGCAATGGAAAAGTTGCAAAATTTTTTGCCCTATGATTTTCACAGTTTCTTTATTAGCACACTAGTTAAATGCTTTGTTAATCATTATTGTGTACTCTGTTTTGATATGTCATCATGGCACAAAATATCCCTGGGTGGATCGAGGTGATCGTTTTAAAAATTAAGTAATGTGCATATTGCGGGCTTACCGTAATTACTTGAATCTTACGCGCACCTTTTTTCTGGTTAAGCGAGTTCATAAATAGCATGCGCGTTAGAATTGAGTAGGAAAAAAAAATGAATACGGTCATTCTATTGCCATTGGCATTTCCGAAATGGCCGCCCCCTAAGTACGTCGGCATTGCGCGTCGGCCATTTCTGCCTACGTGTTTCCCATGAGCGGCACTTCGTACGTGTGCTGAGGAGTTCGTCATCTTGTAGTGCATTAGCATCGACGGCATGGAAGGGCCGACTTTAAAAACTCGACGAGTGCACCACGATGCCGCTTTTAAAAGAAAAGTCATCGCGTGTGCAGAAACAGACGGAAATCGGGCCGCATCGTGGTCGTTCGGAGTTCCCGAAACGTGCGTGCGGGAGTGGCGGAAACAAAAGCAGAAGATTGTCGACAGCAAACATTCATGTAAAGGCTTCAGTGGACCACAGCAGGTTCGGTTTCCGGAAATTGAAGAGCTGCTCGGCAAGTATGTCATTGAGCAGTGAGCGGCACAGCGGCCCGTGACGGCAGAACTGCTCCAAGTTCAGGCTATGTAGTTAGCCTTAGAAAAAGGGCTAATGTGGAGCCAGTTTTAAGCGAGCAGGTGCTGGCTAACTAACTTTATGAAGAGGAAAGGCTTTTCCCTCCGAAGGCGAGCGGGCATATGCGAAATGTTGCCGGAGGAGTACAAAGAAAAGCTTCACAGTTTTCAAAGGTTCGTCCTAAACTTTCGGCACAACAACGGCTACCTGCTTAGGCAAATCGAGAATGCCGATCAGACGCCGCTTTACTTCGACATGCCGACATCGGGCCACGGTAAAACTAGAGTGACGGCAATGCTCCGTTGCACGTCAGATAGGCACAAGCTTCCCCCGTACCTCATATTTAAATGGAAGACGCTCCCGAAAGGAGTCGTTTTCCCAAGTGGTGTGATCGTGCGGGCCAACGAGAAAAATAGGTGCGCGTTGCGATTCATGTCTTTTTTTTTTTTTCGCCGTGGAAACCGTGTGCGTGTTACAATCGAGGGCGCAGTAAAATCGAGTAAATATGGTACTAGGAGCGTCTCTTACACTGGCATTTGAAGTGTAAGCACTTGTGTTAGAGCACAGATGCCGGCATTATGGATTTTTATGCAGAGGCTGGCTATATCGTTGAATTGGGAAATAACGTATAACGTCAACATTTATACCAAGATATCACCTGTGTGAATCCTGTGAAATGGCATACCATATTTTTCGGTGTATAAGACGCGGTTTTTTTCCAAAATTTTCGGAGGTGCGTCTTATACAACGGTGCGTCTTATACGCACTTTTTTTGGTAGTTTTTTGGGAGAAACTCGTGTTGATGCTCATCAGTCTTTTTTTTTAAACCACTAGAGCAGTCCAATGCGAATTATGCATCATAATTATAATAACGAACACTCAACGTGCCGGTACTACAGTTTTAAAACAAAACCAAAGTACATAAAACGGAAAAATTTAAAAAAGTATGTCATCGTGCGAGTTCTCAGCTCACTGAAGCTGCGCAAGTTTCGGAGGCTGTACCATAGAGAGCTGTACTCAGTGAGTGAAATCGGCGTAAGATGGCGATAGGTGCGCGACGGTTTCGGCGGTTTGGTTCGGATTCGGCCGCTACTGCGGCTACCACCGCTACGCTGTCGTTCAGCGAGTTGGACTAGTCGCCATTTGCAACTTCATTCGTTCGGTTGGTCCGCGCCTTTGTTACCTTCACCTGCAGTATGCCGGCTAAACGGAAAAGTTACACGGCGAAGTTTAAGCTTGCTGCTGTGAAGTATGCAGAGGACTACGGAAACCGGGCTGCGGGCCGTCATTTCGACGTCACGGAGAAGATGGTCCGCACATGGCGACAGTAGACTGATAAGCTTCAGGCCATGAAGAGTGACAAGAAAGCTGACCGCGGCAAGAAAGCACGATGGCCAGACCTTGAGGGACGTCTGCACTCATGGATACTGGAGCAGCGTGCCCAAGGTAGGGCGATGTCAACGGTGCAGCTGCGTCTCAAAGCGCAGGCGCTAGCTAAGGAGGTGGGCGCCGTTGATTTTGTTGGCGGGCCGTCCTGGTGCTCCAGATTTATGCGCCGCAAAGCGCTGGCGATGAGGGCCCGCACAAGCATGTGCCAGAATCTGCCAGCAGATTTCAAGGACAAGCTTGAAAGATTCCAGGCTTTCGTTAAGAAAGCCATTGAAGACGATGGCATCGGCAACAGCCATATAATAAACATGGACGAGGTGCCACTTACGTTTGACATTCCAATGGAAAGGAGTGTGGCACCGAAAGGTGACAAGTCTGTCACCATCAAAACTACCGGCCACGAAAAAGCGCACTTCACGGTTGTGCTGGCATGTTGCGCCGACGGGCAAAAACTTCCGCCAATGATTATATTCAAGGGGAAGACGATGCCGAAAGAGTCTTTCCCGCCTGGTGTCGTCATAGAAACGAACGTGAAAGGCTGGATGAACGAAGAGATGATGGGCAAGTGGCTTGAAAAATGCTTTTCTAAGCGACCGGACGGTTTCTTTCATGCGAAGAAGGGCCTCCTGGTATTGGATAGCATGCGGGCGCATATAATGGAGCTCACTTTGAAGCGCATCAAGGCAAAAAACTGCACCGCTGTGGTTATACCAGGCGGGATGACAAAAATGCTTCAGCCGTTGGACATCTCGGTGAACCGCAGTTTCAAGGCTATTCTGCGGCGCCTGTGAGAGTCATGGATGTCCGACGGCGAGCATAGCTATACCGCAACTGGACGCATGAGGCGTGCTTCGTTTTGCAAGGTCGCAAAGTGGGTGCGCGAAGCCTGGTGTGCGGTGTCACAGGCCACCGTAACTGCGGGGTTCCGCAAGGCAGGCCTGCTAGCATCCTCAGCCCCTGGCCTCGACGACGACGACAGCAGCAGCAGCAGCGATTCCGAAGAGGAAACAGAGGAAGTCCCAGCGTCACTGCCGCCAGAGCTCGCTGAACTATTCCAAAGCGCGTCGGAGGACGAGGACTTTGAGGGCTTTGAGGAATAAAATGTTTTCCTGCAGTTGTGCGGAACGTTTCAGTGGGTGCGCATTATTTTTTTCTCACAAATTCGGTGTAGTATAAGTTTTCTTACGGACTGGCGCTCAGAAACGTAAGTACGGCATTTTACAATGCTCGCTCAACTGCGCGTTATGAAGTTTCTTTGCGGAAAGTGAGTGAATGTAGGTGCGTCTTATACACCGGTGCGTCTTATATATTAATTTTTGCATGAAAACTTGCGAAAACTGGGGGGTGCGTCTTATACAAAGGTGCGCCTTATACACCGGAAAATACGGTACATCTTTTTCTTTAATGACTTTTTAATGACTTGCTGTACACTTTTTTGTTGCTGTGTTTAGTAACTATGCTTTTCTTTATGGAAGTCACCATACCTGGTAAACAAGATAGATATTTGCTTTGAATTCATTGTGGTGCTATTTTGTTTTGAAGCAGTAAACACAGATTTAGGTAATTACTATGAGACATAACAAAGTTTATATACATGCATCTATAATGACTATGATGTCAGATTCTGGCTTTATTCTAACATGGTTCAGCTGTAATATTATTATTCGCATTATGCATTGGTACTGCATCATAATTGCCATTATGTATTGTACTGCATGTGTGATCAGCTTATAATGTACATATAGTGCTGGTGTTACATTTATTCTTTTCTTTTACACCCTGATTGATATCATTGTTTTTCTATATTCAGAATCTGACGTGAAACTGAAACTGAATGAGTGTGCCACCTGCAAGGCTGCCACCAGCTATGTAGAGGAAATACTCAAGGATACCAAGAATGACCAGGAGGTTGCCAAGCAATTGGCAAATGCTTGTGATCACGCTCCTAAGGCACTTCAGTCTCAGGTATTGGCCGCACTCTGCTTGTGAAGTTTGTTGTTGAAGGTCTTAGATACGAGGTAGCTGTGAAGAAAGAGTGTTTCTTCTCACCACGTTGCTGCATCCTGCTAATGAGTAGCGTTGTCTACCTTCCGCTGTGTAACTGCCACACGGAATTTGTTTAATGCTATGCATTTTGTAAGAGTGTTCTAGCAGTCTCAGCGTATTCAAGGGGCCTGGTAGCACTTTTCTACGTTATAGAAAAACCTATGATTAGTCGCCATTGCATCTTGAATCTCCTGCTGCAAAAAAATTTACGGATCCATGACCTGAGGTATGATGGGAGAAAGAGAGAGATATGGCATGAAGAAAGGCATGGAGGTTAACCGGAAAGCAAGGATCTGGTTTGTTATCCTGCACTGGGGAAGGGCAAATGGGAGACAGAAAAGTAAGGAAAACAGAATGAGAGAGAGAGTGGGAGGAAAGCGAAAACACGCACACCCTAGAATGTCCCAATCGTTCGACGAGGCGGGCTAATCACGGAAACTTCTGAAGGGCTTTCGTTGCTTTTCAGCGTGAAGCTTGATCTTTCCCGCATTCCAAAATAATTTTTGGGAAAGCATCTGTTTGACGAGGTGGGTAAACACTGCTAACAGAGACTGTCTCTGACAGTTGTATTGAGGGCACTCATACCAAATATGTTCGATGGTTTCGTCAGCGCCGCAAAGGTCACACGCAGTACTGTCTGCCCTGGTATGAGGAGACCTATTCCATAAAACAAGGGCCCTGTGTGCGTCTCCTGCATAAAAGGGGATGGCAAGGAGCTAAAAATTGCCGCTCGTCGTGATTTTTATTTTTCTTACTTAAATTCTATTGGCCCCTAATTTTGGTTCAAATGTGCATAGGACTACCATGTGGTGGTGCCTTGTAGGCTTCTGCGATCGCTATGCAGTGTGGCACATGGTTTCAGAGATTGTCCTCTGGAACTTTGTTTGTAGATGGGCCAATGCTTGTCATGCCCTCTTGCTGGATGGTAAAGCATTATAGACCGTTTTCATAATTTGCAAGTGCGCTTCTCTGCACTGCCCCGCAGGGGCACCTGCGCGAGTAGGCATTTGGTGTGTAGCAACACCACGGACCCGAGCTAATGGGGGAGTTTCTACTCCCTCTGTTGTAGGCCCGTGTGCTCAGATTTGGGTGCACGTTAAAGAACCCCAGGTGGTCTAAATTTCCGGAGCCCTCCACTACGGCGTCTCTCATAATCATATAGTGGTTTTGGGACATTAAACCCCACATATCAATCAATCAGTTTCTACTCCCTCCCACGCCTAGCCGTGCGTGGCTTTGCCGTGTCCGGGGAAAAGGGGATCCTGGGGGTTGAGCCGACGCTGGGTGCTTGAACCTTTAAGGCCCCTCGGCAGAGGCAACACACCCCTTTGGCCCCGGCTTCCCGTAGACGGCACCCCTGGGCTGACCCAGCCAGGGGAAATCGGCAGTCGCCTTTTCCTATCTCTCTCTCCCTACATCTTCGTCTTTATCTCTTACTATTTATCTGTCCTGTCTTCTACTCTCTTCCATTTACTTCCAAACTTCCTGGCGACTAGGGTTAACCCTGTGCAAATAGCCTACCTTGGTCTAGGTGCATTGGATTATGGTGGCGTTGTATGGCTGGCGTCTGCAGGTTTCAGCATCCGCAAACTTGTAGCGTCCCCTTGTTGGGCTCCGTGGTGGGTGGCCGCCAACGCTGCTGAACAAAAATAAGACAGGCATGCATAGAGCATTCCCCCTACTGTCTGATCGTACCGGCTTAAAGCGGGTACGCACCGATGATATAAATTTTTTCAACCAGCCAAAAGAAACATACCCACACTTTCTTGTTATCCACTGCGAAAAAACTGAAAAGCAAGCCAGGACCGTCTCTCCTTTCCTAGTTGCTAGATGTCTTACCGAAACTATTGGCACAGGATACAAGGTAACCAAAATGGCTAGCGGAGACCTTCTCCTCGAAATCCGTGACAAAGAACAATTTGAAAAGCTAGACCGTCTTTCAGATTTCGGTGGCTTACCAATAACCATAACACCACATAGATCAATGAACACAACTCGCGGAGTGGTATCTGACATGGACTTATTTGACTTGACTGAGACTGAACTTTTGGAGGGGTGGAAAAGCCAAAATGTCACTAATGTACAGAGAATCATCATCAGAACAGATAATAAGGAAACACCGACAAAACACTTAATACTCACGTTTGCATCCAGTAAACTACCGGAATCTATTCAAACAGGGTACACGAAGACAACTATCAGGCCGTACATACCAAACCCTCGTCGTTGCTTCCAATGCCAGAGGTATGGCCATGGCTCTAAAACCTGTCGTGGTCGCCAGACTTGTGCACAATGTGGAGTCCTAGGCCGCGTGTCCGAGAACGGCAAACAACCGCCACACTGTGTAAACTGCGAAGGAAACCATGCCGCATATTCACGCTCCTGCACATACCGGAAAAAAGAAAAAGAAATAATTACGTTGAAAGTAAAGGAGAACATTTCATTTAAGGAGGCACGGCGAAGAGTCGCACCATTCTATGGACCTACGTACGCTGATGCGGCGCGTCAGGGGGCACCGCCACACCAGCCCTCGCCACTCCTTCGGCCCGCGCATACCGAGCCGGGGTTTGTGGCACTTGCCCCCAAGGCGGCTGTAGCCCAGGCTACACCGCCTACTCCCAAACAGAGACCGGAGACTCCAGAGTCCTTGGGTCTCAAGGCCTCACCTCACCAGGCGAGGCCCGAAATTCGAACTAACAGCCCACACGTGCGGGCATCCAGTGCCTCCGAGGAGGCAATGGATACGTCTGTACCCTTGGTGACGAAAGAGCGGCGTGGCTCCTTGGAGCGCGCCAAGAAAACAAAAAAGCAGATAACAGGGGCTGGAGACGGCCCTGTTAAGTGAACTCAAACTCCCTGTCTAAACAGCCACTCGCTTTTCGTACACACAGCACTATTTTACATTCACCATGAACACTCAAATTATACAATGAATCGTCAGGGGCCTTCTCAGAAACCTTGACGACATCCAAAAACTCTTACACGAACACTCACCAAAAGTGCTGTGTGTACAAGAAACACACCTTAATTCAAAACGCACAAATTTCCTTCGTAAATACGTTATTTTCCAAAAGGACCGTGTTGATGCCATGACATCATTCGGAGGTGTTGCCATCATAGTGAATCAAGGAATTGCATGCACACACTTACAACTCCAAACATCCCTTGAGGCAGTGGCTGTTCTAGCGGTTCTTTTTGATAAACTGATCACAATCTGCACTATTTACATTCCTCCTAGCTATCAGCTGTAAAAACGTGATTTACACTCTTTAATTGATGAACTTCCGGAGCCTTATGTTCTCCTTGGAGACTTTAATGCGCATTGCAGGCTATGGGGTGACTCTCGGTATGACGCGCGAGGTCGACTAATTGAACAGTTCCTTCTCTCGTCGAGCGTGTCTCTCCTAAATCGAAAAGAACCACCCTATTATAATCTCGCTAATAACACCTACTCCTCTATAGACCTAAGCATAGCATCTCCATCTCTTGTGCTTCTACTCCAGTGGAAAGTCGTCAGTAATCTATACGAAAGTGACCACTTCCCCATAGTTTTGAGCACAACTACAGTAACTGAGTGTCCACCACGTGTTCCCAAGTGGCTCATAAAACAGAGCCGACTGGGAACAGTTTTATACCATCGCTAGTCTAGGTTGGAATGACATCTGTACTTTGAATATTGATGTTGCTGTCAACTACTTCACAGCGTTTTTGATTGATGCTGCAACATAATGCATCTTACAAACAAATGGACACCCTGGAAAACGGCGTGTGCCATGGTGAAACTCTGAATGCCGAAACGCGCGCAAACAGCAAAACAGAGCTTGGAGGCTGCTTCGGAACTCACTGACAGCCGAAAATTTTGACACCTTCAAGAAAATAAAGTCTCAAGGCAGAAGGACGCGTCGGCAGGCCAGAAGAGAAAGCGGGCAGAAGTTTTTGTCAGGGATCAATTCATACACACAGGAGGCTAAAGTCTGGAACATGGTCGGTAGGATAGCTGGAAAACAAGTACACACACTTCCACTCGTAAACACTCAGGGTGACACGTTAGAAGATCAGGCAAACTTCCTCGGTGCACACTTCGAACAGGTGTCCAGCACATCCCACTATACTGACACTTTCCAAAAATACAGAACAAGAATAGCAAAGCAGAAACTCGAGCACAAATGCACTAGATACGAGGCATATAATCAAGCTTTCAGTCTAACTGAGCTGCGAATGTCTCTAAACTCCTGCAGTACTTCTGCTTCAGGTTCTGACCGTGTGGTGTATGAAATGTTAAAAAAACCTACCAATCGACACACGAAAAACCTTACCTTGTTTGTATAATGCTATCTGGTTTTCTGACACTATCCCTACCTCCTGGAAAGAGGCTATTATTATTCCCATTTTGAAAGAGGGCAAGGACCCTTCTTTACCTTTGAGTTATAGGCCTATTGCACTTAAAAGCTGCTTGTGCAAAGTCTTCGAAAAAATGATAAACTGCCGACTTGTACATTTCCTTGAAACAAACAATTTGCTCGACCCATTTCAGTGTGGGTTTCGAGAGAGTAGATCCACCACAGACCACCTTGTTTGTATCGAGGCACAGATCAGAGACGCCTTCGTCCATAAACAATATTTTCTCTTTGTGTTCCTCGATATCGGAAAGGCTTATGATACAACATGGCGTTTTGGAATTCCAAGAGACCTGTCCCACCTTGGCGTGCGCGGAAGAATGTTTCACATAATCGAAAGTTACCTGTCAAACCGGACATTCCGTGTCCGAGTGGGCACGGTTCTTTCCCAAACATTTGTCCCGGAAACAGGCGTGCCACAAGGTGGTGTACTTAGCTGCACACTTTTTCTCATCAAAATGAATTCCTTGCGCTTGTCCATCCCACGCAATATGTTTTATTGTACATATGTCGATGACGTCCAACTTGGCTTTAGATCTTGCAATCTGGCAATGTGTGAGCGGCAGGTTCAGTTAGGTTTCAAGAAGGTCTTCAAATGGGCAGAGGAAAACGGATTCCGTCTGAACCCACAAAAAAGCATGTGTGTCTTGTTCTCCCGAAAGAGAGGCATGCACTCAGAACCCGACATTGGACTGAACAGTCAACGTCTGTCTGTTAATGCGGAGCATAAATTCTTAGGATTAATCTTGGACAACAAGTTGACCTTCGTACCGCACATCAAGTATTTAAAAACAAAATGTTTAAAAGCCATGAATGTTTTAAAAGTGTTGTCACGTACTACGTGGGGTAGTGACAGGCAATGTCTCATGAACCTGTATAGAAGCCTCATTCGCACCCGCTTAGATTATGGGGCCGTTGTTTATCAATCTGCGACTCGAAGTGCTTTGAAGATGCTGGACCCCGTGCACCATTTAGGCATCTGCCTTTCTACGGGTGCTTTTCGCACCAGCCCCGTAGAAAGCCTTTATGTTGAGTCAAATGAGTGGTCGCTTCATCTGCAGAGAACTTAAATGTATTTTGTTTATTCCCTTAAGGTGAAAGCAGATAAGAAGCAACCCTCATACTCTACTATTGATGATTTGTCGAGCACAATTCTCTTTCAAAACAGGCCTTCGATGAGGCAGCCCTTCTCAGTTCGCCTGAAGAGTCTAGCTGAGGAAACTGGAGTCTCACTTGAACACAGTTTAATGGCTCCTGTAGCATACCCGCCACCGTGGCAATGGCAGACTATAGACTGCGATGTGTCTTTTCTAGAAGTTACAAAACATGCGCCTATTGCCCATATCCGAACATACTTCCTGGAACTTCAACACAAATACATACGTCCCGAGTTCTTTACAGATGCCTCCAAGTCTAACTCCTCTGTGTCCTACGCTGCTGTCGGCCCATCCTTTTCGGATGCTGGCCCTCTACATCCAGGCATAAGTATCTTCACAGCGGAAGCTCACGCGATACTTGTGGCGGCTAAACACATCAAGCAATCACAAATACAAAAAGCAGTGATTTATACGGACTTCCTCAGTGTGGTAATGGCTCTGCACACTCTTAAAAAACAAAAAAGCCCAGTCTTTGTCTCACTTTACTCCATTTTGTGCACACTCTACACACTCAAACAACATGTTGTAGTGTGCTGGGTGCCAGGGCACCGTGAGATTCAAGGCAACGTGAGGGCGAATCAGCTCGCTGCATCCGTCCACAAAAGCACTGCCTCTACACCCATATCAATCCCGGCCCTTGATCTTAAGCCGTCTCTCAAACGAAACCTCAGGGACTACTGGCAGACTAAGTGGGATACACACACACACAAAACAAACTACACATTATTAAGCCACACCTTGGTCATTGGCTGCCCGTATCGAAATCGCGTCATACAGAGGTAATACTAGCGAGACTCAGGATAGGACACACATACACGACACACATATCTTTTGTCCGGTGGCGATCTGCCATTGTGTGTCAGATGTGGTGAAGCATTAACAGTCCTTCACATGTTAATTCAGTGCAAACACTTAAAAACTCTAATAAAACAACATTTTCCATTACCCTACCGACAACACATACCTTTACACCCTGCTATGTTCGTCGGTAGGGAACCGCTTTTTAGTCATAAATCATTGTTAGCGTTTTTAAAAGAAATTCATAATTTTCATATCATATACCCGGGCATTCCGTAGCACGACCACTCCAGAGAGGTTTTTGCTGCGGTGGCTACACAAGAAAGCACATGCCTCACGGCCCTTGGACGCAAGGGTATGAACGAGTGAGGTACCTGTGCTAATGCCGTACATGTCCACCATCGTTTTTAACTATCACCAACTTTTGTCACCTATTCGCACCACACACACCTTTCACGGCATGGTCATGATTTTATTACTTGTATGTTTTTACCTGCCTTACCGCGAGGAATTTTATGGCCCTTATACAGCCGCTTGTCACAATCATTGTCCATATTTTTAGGAAGATGAACTGGCGCTCTTTGGTCGTGAAATGGCCCTTGCGCCACAAAAAACCAAACATCATCATCATCATCAGCTTCTCTGCACTGCATCTTTGTCTACCAGCAGCGCCTGTCCGACTTCAAGTGGAGACCAGGTTCTTGTTAAACGTGCTGGGGCTCATTAATGTCGAGATAGCTAAACCTACGTTTTCCATGTCTTAGTGCAAGTAAACTGCGCTTGACCACTGCTTTTGCAGAAAGTGACTAGCCGCCATTAATAGGGCAAACTTCATAGCAGGAAAGCTAGCTTTACAAATATGAAAAGGGTCTATGGCATTAGGCTGGCATAACCATGTATAGCACAGGCACCTATAACATAGTTATATATAGCAGGGGAGTGGGAAAACAAAGTAAGATGCAGGAGAAAGGCAGAGGAGAGGATAGAGCACATCATAATCGTGTGTAGTATAGTGTAGTGATTGAATAGAACAGTGAAATGAGGGGAAGGAGTGATATGAGAGGAGAGAGAGGAGGTAAAGGAAATGAATGCGTCACATAAGGTTTCCTTTCCCACCATAGAGGCTTATCGTACTGCAAAGCTGTAACACAGGCACTTACCTGTGAACGGGAGTCTCCCAGAAGAAACGTAGATCAGCGATGCTCACAGGCTGTGTTCGTCATGTCCACTTCTACTTTGGTGTCTTGTCCTAAGCACAGTTTGAGTTCACATAGTTATGTCTTACCAACGAGCCCCTCTACACTTACTTCTTGAGCTCGTCACTACAGGACAGGCAAATTCCTGTGTTGAACTTTCTCCAGATTTCATGTTGAGTGCAACTTCATAATTTTTTTTAAAGCTGTTCGGCCTTTACAATTTGTTTCTATAGTCTAAATTGTTGTATTATCTTTTTCTACTGTATATGTCTGTAGTGCAAGGCCTTGATTAAGACCTATGGGCCAGCTCTCCTCCGGACTATTGCACAGGTTGGCAGTGGTGAAGAAGCATGTAAGGTAAGGTTTTTGAGTGTTATGCTGTTCTATGCTCGTTATTTTAGCATGAGATGCTGTTTTTCTTCCACTAATGTATTGTCTGAATACAGTATAACCTCGTTACAATGGATCCGCTTACAACAGACATTCAGTTACTGCATACTAATTTGTGGTGTTATGTGGACCTCCTTATTTGTTCCATTGATTTATGTTCGTTTACTATGGATTCTGGTACAACGGACATTCGGATATAGTTGACTAAAATCTGAGGCCAGCAAAGTGGTCAAAACTCTTTTACAGCAAACTTTTCTACTGCGGACATTTCAAATTTAATAACTTCTGACTTCAAACATTGTTTGGCATATTTTCGGGACAGGAATAGAGCCGCGGATATAGACGTACCAATTTAAGAATGAAGGCCGCATATCTCCAGTTTCTTAATGATGAGTTACGCCTAGCCACGAAAATGAAAAATCGGCACACAGCACGTTTGATTTCGCGTGTTGGGGTGCTGACACGAAAAATTGCTGGGCGCTGCCACCGCTGTTCCGAGGGGTCGATCCGTGGTGAACATGGCTGGGGTCCGCTACCGATATGCAAGATTCGCTGTTCTAAGGAGCCAGCGGCCGATGTGATTTGTTGCTTGTGACGAAACACATTACGGCTTTTTCGCTCTCATATCCGCTAGCGTGATGGTTTTCCACGCCAAGTTCGGGGCGAAGTTAGGCCTAGCCACGACTTCGAGCAGAAAGCGCAGCTGTGATGCGCATGGCTGCGGTGCCCAGTGTTTTGAAGTATGACACACTTTATCTCGAGCAGAAAGATCTGTCCCGCAGTGGTGTTCGTCGCAAGGTTAGAAGCGCTGATAAGCCGAGTCTTCTTGCCAACGAGACAACGCTATAACAATTGATACGAGATGCGCGCGTGCGATGTTAGCAACGAGTACAGCATGCAATTGTAATCTGAAGACTGAACTTCTGCTTGCAGCTGCCTTAAGAAGCCGTGCACACAGAACGAGTGTGAAAATGTCACAAAGTAGTAAGATTTTAGACAGCTGTGACCTCGCGATGCACAAGAAGCAGATAATGTTATACCGAAGGTGTATCTGGAACGAGCATCGAACTAGCGAGGCATACGGGAGCAATACAGCAGAACCAGATAATCGGAATCCTTCAACTGAATTTCAAACATTTGCTCTCGGAACGCGGAATGCTCTTTGCTATAGTGAACTAAGAGCTGTAGTGACATGAGCGGTGGGGCATGCCCGGTTTCCCGGCATCCCTTTATGCTCTGGACGGCCGCTAGGGTAGGTGCGGGCGCTGCTACTCATTTTCATACAGGGAGCCTTTATGTGTGCCTCAACAGAGGCAGCGTGCACTCGGCTGCTGACCCGCAGGATGCGGGGTCGAATCCCGGCTGCGGCGGCTGCATTTCCAATGGAGGTGGAAATGTAGGCCCGTGTGCTCAGATTTGGGTGCACGTTAAAGAACCCTTGGTGGTCAAAATTTCCTGAGCCCTCCACTACGGCGTCTCTCGAAATCATATGGTGGTTTTGGCACGTTAAACCCCACATATCAATCAAGGCAGTGTGGACATACAAACGCTAACAACTGAATTTTGTTTTGAAGGAACATGCAGCTATAAATATGCAGAGCTGCCCATGCGCATTATATATGTGCATCACATATGTGGATCAGATATCGCACCGCTTAAAGAAAATAGGCGAGAAATCAGAGGTTACAGTTCTTTTTTCCGCTCCTAATAAACTGTCGAAGCAACACAAGTGAACTCATCCTGCGAGTAAGGATGAAGGCTGCAATATTGAGCATAGTAACTAGGCTTGTGCAGATATTCGGATGAATAGTTGAGTATTTGAATTCGCTTCGATTCGAATTTAAATTATCGAATATTTTCGAAGTATTCGCAATAAACAAATAAGTGTATATTAGTCTGCTTCTAAAGGTAGTTTCACTGCAATGTACGAGTGCAAAGCTATGAAAGCATGTATTCAGGGAAATTTTGCTTAGCCTCGAAGCCCCCATTCAGCTTTAAAGGCGCCCTGCAACACTTACTGAGCATGATCAGAAAACGCTGCCGATCGGTAGTCGAGGCTACAGAGAACACGCAAGGCAAATAATATAGCGCAGCACACGGCCTGTGATTCACAATAAATTTTCAAAGCTAAAAATTGCTTTCTTTCGTCGGCTAATGACACTATACAAGCTCAAAAATCACTTGTTACAGCCAAGAAGGAATATATATGGATCTGGTCACAGTCATTGGCAGACATGAGCGTGGCGCGTTCGTTGTTACCGGGGCCGCTGCGGGAGGTCGCCGCTTGTCTATAAGTATGTGAACGATCGCACTGAAAAACCGCGTATCAGCAGAGAAAAAAAAATGTGCTCAAGGTCACGAGGTGCGTGTGTGGTATTTTCTTTTGCCGTGCCATTCCTCCCTGCTTAGCTTCCAGCTATTTTGTCGGGACGAGAAGAGAGAATGCAATCGCAGCATGTGACAAATTTTGGGAACTCTGCTCGTACTGTACTGATTCTAGAAACTTTGTGGAAGGAAATTTGTGGGGCAACAAGCATGTTTACTGGCTCCATGGCTACTTGAAAAAGTGCTGCAGAGCTCCTTTAAAGGAACATGTTACTCTCAAATCAATTCTTCATTTTATTAAGCTTGTTATGACTGCTCATATGCTCTAAGTATAATAAATTTTAAAACCTTGAGTATCTTACGGGTTATCACTTGCATCTTACCGAAACTACTACCCAAGGTCGTTTAGACTTCCTTTGAGCGAAAAACAAATGGTGTTTGCATAGAACGCCTATTTCAATTTAAAAGAAATATTGTGCAGGTTAGTTAGGTCATGATAAATATTATCTTTTTTTATGTGTCGTACATACCATTTGAATTAGATTCGAAATTATTCGATCAAAATCGCTATTCGCTTTGAACCTAAAATTCACTATTCGCACAAGCCTAATAGTAACCCAATCACAGAGTGTGCTAAATACGTGGTATATGACATACCCCTTTCTTGTAGAGTGGCAAACGTGGAACAAACGGGAAGATGTCTCGGCGTGCATCTGCTAGAGCATCGTCAAAAACGAAAAAAGATAGAGATGGTTTTTTGCCATAGCATTGTTCCGAGGGTGGCTGAACTCATATTTGGTGACACTACTGTAATCGCTAAAATGTCATGTTAGAAAAAAAGGTTGATTATTGAAGCGGTGGTAATTGAAAAAAAAAAAAGACTATTAGCAAGCATTTTATAATGCTATCCGCAAAGGAGTTATCGTTCTTGCGGCGAGCGAACTTCCTTGCACACTTTTGTTATCTTTAAGTGAATTATGTGTGTCATCATGGTCAAAGAACGCTTTCAACAGCATGCACTCGCACATGGTCAATTCTGCATAATAATACACGTTCCTTCGAAATAAAATTCAGTTGTTAGTCAGGGCTTCTCTTCGTGTGTCTCTTCTTTGGTCATGTCTCGTGGGCTGTGAGTCATTATGGATCATCATGCGCACATGAAGGCTCCCTATTTTTATAGTGTGTGTGGTGGCGGTTTGGGGTGGATGGCTGCACCCAACATGTCCTCTGGCCCAACATGCTATAGCAACACTGGCTGGGCTTGCATGTCTAAGTGTTGGGAGCTCCCATTGTGCTTTGGTGCCTTCTCGTGTGAATCGTGAGCGCCGCGTGCAGCCCGCGGCAAGGCGAAGAGGCGGACAGACTCGCACCAGTGCATTGCTCTGGGTGTCTGCACAAGCTACCCGAATTGGCCAAAAGCGCCGCTGTTTGCCGCACTGATGGATGATGGTCTCTGAAAGAAGTGGGAGCGGAACCCTCACAGGAAAGATTTAAGCATTTCTTCAGCATTATGCAAGCATCACTTTGAGCCGCACTTCATTCTGCATGAGTATGTTTCCATCATAAACGGCAATGAAGTGTGGATTTCGCTCATGCGGGTTTCTCTATCGGGAATTCACACACTTCATACAGTAAAAGCTTGTTAATTCGAATTACACAGAAACGCTGAGCAATTTCGAATTAAACAAAATTCGAAATAATGAAAGTGAGCAAAAATGGGTGGATTTCGGGGGTGGGGGCACGAAAAATATTTATTGGCCAAAAAAGTCGGTGATGACCATCTGCTTCTTTTCTCTGAATGCCACAGCTGCAGCTCTCTGTTCCAGCGCGCGGGCGCGGCGCAGGGAATCCTGTTCACCCTCTTCAAATCTGAAGAAGAGACGCGCCACTTTAAGTGCCTCCATCACCGCAGAAGCTGACGGGCGCACAGGCGCTTCGTCATTTTCGTCTTCCTCACCTTCTGGCTCTTCAGCATCAAGCTGCGCACCGGCTACTTGAGCGATAATGTCCTCATCAGTCAGGGCACCACACACCAATGCACCGGTGTCAACTTCAACATAATCGGCAAAACATACGCCCCGAAGAGTGTCGCGCAATGCCACTGGCATGAGCTCCTCAGCCCCATCCACGTCGACATCACAACTATCCTGCGCACTTCCAGCTGCAAATCCACTGTGGCGGAAACAGTTTGCGATTGTGGTCGCGGTCACCTGTTCCCATGCGCACACCAACATGTGCATGGCAGTGAGCAGCGTAATGCCGAAGTCCTTCCTGTCGCCCGCGCACAAAATCATTCTCTCCAGCACGTGACGCCTATAAAAGCACTTAATGATCCTTATCACACCCTGGTTTATTGGCTGTAGGGCCGCAGTCGTATTTGCCGGAAGGAACACCAACTTAGTTGCTCTCAGCTCAACGTCGACTTTGTGCGCCAAACAGTTGTCGACGACAAGAAGAACGCGTCGGCCGCCCAGTTCCATTCGCCTGTCGAATTTCAGTAGCCACTTTCTGAATAGGTCACCTGTCATCCAGGCTTTCTTGTTTGCGGCGTACTGCGTCGGCAGTGAGCGAATGTTTTTGAAGCACCGGGGCTTGAGTGCTTTGCCAATCACAAAAAGGGGGACCTTTTCCGTAACGGTCAT